AAAAAACTAGCATGGCCTGGAAGTCCAGTCTTATGACTTGTTAGTCATGCTGTGAGGTTTTCTCAAACTGGAGAAGGGTGGATTTTGATTTGTGATTAGACAGACTTCTTCACATGAACAGAAAATCAGCAGGAGGTAGAGGCACACCCGTGCATAACTTTCTGGTGAAGCCTTCCCTGCAATCGCAAGAAAAGGGTTACAAAATCTCAGATCTCATCAGTGAGGGGATCAAGTTAAGAGAAATTTTTAAGAGGATAGTGAAGGATGAAAGGCATTGTCATGACCAGAAGGTCAGTGGCTCATGCTACTGAAGACAAGAGAGAAGAAACCAAATATATGTGTTACTTAAAGCTTAAAATGCTGATTTTCTCTTAGAGCACACCTTTATTTTTCCTTCATGTTCTGCACTGCATCCCCCATACCTGGCAGTGTACCAGGCACAAGTTGCTTAATAAATGTGTGTTGAATGAATAAATCATTGTGCAAACCTATCAAATCTTTCTTCATTCTGCATTTCAATTCACTTTCTCCACTGCTTATAGATCATTATATTAAAGTATATATAAATACTTTAATAAAGCATAATGTTTTCTCTATAGAACAAATATCTTTTGTTTCCTTTTGTGTATTTTAAGTGTAATTTAAAATTAATTTTATTTTTATTAAGGTAATATATCTCATAACTTAAAACAAAATCAAAATCTACGGTTCTTGTGGAACAGTGCAGGTCTCTTCCTAAGCCTTGATCTTAATCCCCCAGGCAAACATTTGACTCTTTCAGTAGCTTTTTAACTGTACTTTTATATTTCTAACTGGTTTGCTTATCCTGCTATTTCTTTAGCAACTTTACACATTATTTATTGATTTTTGTTATAATAGTTGAGGGTTTAGTTGTCTTACATGCACATATACATGGAGAGTCTTTCCCTCTGCCATCCTCCACCTGTAGTTTTATTATAGTTTAGGGTTAATACTCTTGTCAGTGTTCCCAACATTTTTATTATGTCCAGATCTAAACAAAGTGGTATTCTATCATAATGTTTCTTTTCTCTTGCAACTTTTTGTTTCTCATGGAGTTAATAATGTCCTTTTAAAATTAATTCAGCACACTCTGTACCTATTGTATATTATTCACAATTGCCTCCAAATGATCTTAACAACTGTAACAGAATGATCTAACTGTGGTAACAACTCTAAAGTATCTTCTTGGCATTATACAATACAAGTTTACTTCTAGCTCATGTGGTAGTCCAGCATGTGGCAGCTGGGGTTGCCATGTCACACCCTAGTTCAGGGTCATGACTTTTCGTCTAGGGGCTGTCATGTCTTCTAGGGCCTTAGAGCTCTTCGGAAGGTTGGTTCTTTGCATCTGCACACTAATAAGGGAAGAGGGGAAGTGTAGAGGATCTCAGGGCATACCCTGGAAGTGACGTACATGACTTCTGCCCACAATCCATGAACCAGACCTCAGTGACATGCGTAAGAAATGAAATCTAGTGTGGTGCTCAGGAAAAAGAGCAGAACATGGAATCTGGTGGGCACTTCCCACTATCTACTGTATTTTCAAATGCACATGTGTATCAAACAATCTATCATTTTCTTTTCATTTTTTTTTTCTTGGAGACATTCCTGCTGCAGACCATCTCTTCACCTCTCTTTAGGCCTGCTTCACACTTATTGCTCTGGAGAATTTATTTTACTGCCTTTTATGTTGGGCCTGCATTTTTGGGGTTTCATCTCTTCCTCTTTCTTGATTTACAAGCTTATTTGGGGAACTGTTACTTTAAAATGGCACACAGGATGTGTATTTTTTAAGTCCATGCATATCTGAAAATTTTTTAAAATCAAGCTTGGCTGACAGTTTGTCTTGGTATACAATTCTAAGTTCAAAATAATTTCATTTAAAAATGTGAAGGCATTCAAAGAAACTTCTGGATCCATTATTGCGCTTGAGAAATCTGATGCATTTATTTTTTCCTTTGTATGTGATTGGCTTTATGTTTCTGGAAGATGTTTTAGGTTTTTCTCTTTATTCCTGCATTTCTTTTATCTCAGAATGATATATCTCAATGAGTTTAATTATTTGATTAATTTAAAGGATTGTTCTCCTGGACGTTTAGTGAAACTTTTGACCCCCAAAGTTCATCATCTTCATTTCTGGTATTGTTTTTACATTTTTTTTCAAATTAGTGTTTTTATCCTTTTCTGCATAGAAAGAACTCTTTTCTAGAGCTTTCTGAGATTTCCATTAGTCAGAATTTTTTTCCATTTAAAAAAAATTTCTACAGCTTTTTGCTCTACTTTCCTGAAGATTTTTCAACTTAGTCTTCTCACCCATCTGTCAGTTTTTTGTAAATGTTGAGTATATTTTCAATTTCAAAAGATTTTTTTCCTGTTTTGTGTATAAATTTCTTTTTTTATTCATTATCTCTAGGAGCAGGGTAAAAAGGCATGTGTTCAGTTCATCTTGTTGAACCACAAATTACTCTAGTTTACTTTCTCCAGAAAATAAACCTCCAGTCTCCTGGAAGCTGGATTGAGCAGATGGAGGAACTTATGGTTGGTTGATTGTGTGACAGTGGGGAAGGGAACTTTGGGTCCAAGCATTCCAGTAAACAGACGTACAACCAAACCCCTGTGTTTACCCCACCACCTGGCCTCCTTCTATGCTGAGATTTCTGCCTCCTAGGCCTGAGTCTGCCCAGGTTTTGCAGGAAGAATTGGCTTGCTTTTTATCCGTAATCTCTCCTGCAGGCATGCAACGTATAGAATCCTCTGCTCTTCCAAATCAGCCACCACGCCTCCATCTGATTTAGCTTCTTCCAAAATTCATTGCAAGTTTATCTGTTATTTTATCTGCTTATTTGACTTTGTGGTTCAGTAACATTTTTAAAAATTCATTTATTCTTGTAATAAAGCAGTTTGAAGAGAGATGAAATACATGTGATAATTTTGCCATTTGTAACGACATATCACCCCATGTACATTAACGTTTACCTCAGTGCCATATTGATTGAATTAGACAGATGTTATGTCTAGTTAGGTTGGGCTACATAAACTCCAGGTAAGGAAGACCTTATTACTATTATCATGACACATAATGCTGTCCCCGTGTTTTCACTGGTTTTCCATTATTTTTTACTCTGCTCTACCTCTGGTCAAAGTGGTCTTTGTGGAGTGGCCAAGCAATATTTCTCTTGTGTCTTCCTACTCTTTCTCTTTCTTGGAACCCCTCTTCCCAGGGAAGGAAATGCTCTGCCACTCTCTGGTAGTGTCACTATGTAACACTACTGGATCTGAGCCTTGGAACCTCAGAGACAGGACTCTATGTGGCAAGTCACTCCAGGAGAGCTATTCCTGCAAGAGTTGGTCCTATAAAGCAGGTGACACACTTATCTAGGGAAAGGTGGCAAGGAGAGTAATCAATAAATGTGTGTGTCAGATTTTCTCATGGCAGAAACTTTTTCTAGAAGTTGCAAGTAGGTAGCACAATGCAGTGACCACTATGAGCTCGGCATTCAGGATCAATAGACCTGACTTCCACCTTTTGAACTTCATCACTTTGGACAGATTTACTGCGACTTTCTCAACCTCAGTACCTCATTCTGAAAATGGAGACAATAAATATAATAGATGCCTTGCCTATTTCACAGTAATGTTGTGAAAGTCAAATGAGATGAAACTATATTGCGTACAGGAAATAATAGCTATTAGGATTAATGTCAGTGGTGAACACATGAACTAGGTAAAGAATATGGGTTATCATTGTATAGCACAGAGGGTGATTTTAAATCAATGTGTTAACAGTGGAAAAGATTCAAGTTTCTTATGTTCTTTCTTTTATTTCTGTCTGGGACCATAGACACATACTTGTTATACACATAGATATTGCTGTTAAATGCAAAGTAGATTTATCATAAATATAGATTCCAAGCATACATACTTTGAAAAATCTACAATCTGAGCCTCATATGCTTTTATGTAGTAGATCCAAAATATTTTTTATGAACTGGATCTTACTTGGCAAAAATGGAGTAGATTAAGTGTTACCAAAATTATAAGTATAGCCAACAGGTTCATAGAACTTACTGTGCCAGGCACGTTCTACGCACATTACTGATATGAAGTCAATTCCTCACAATAACACTATGAAGGTATTATTACTCTTCTTTTGAACTTTCAAGAACATTGAAGGACATAAAATAGAACTTCTTTAATAGTTTCATAATAGAATAGACAGATTTCTATAAGACCAAAATGTTTTCTCTAATACTCAATTTTTCCACTACTTTGCTATTGTTTGTTTTGTGTTTTGGTTTGGGCTATTCCTTTGCTCCTTTCTACAAGAAATTCTCTGGAAGCTGATAACAGCAGTGCCTCCCAGATTGTCTCTAGGGCATTGAATAAGAACCAAGTTAAGCAATTAAAATTCAAGCAGTCATTGACATCTCATTGTTTACTAATGTGAATCCAAGTCACAGGTTTGGAACTTTTAAATTCTGTTCACAGAGGAGTAAATCGGTTGCTACTATAATGTACCCAAGCTTGTATTCTTACCTTTACTACCAGTCTGTAAATTAGGGATGTCTGAATGTGCCTAAAATGTAATCCCAAGACGGGCAGCCAGGATCGTTGCTTTGTGGACGAATCTAATGTGTTTAGAACAGGGCGTAGCACACAGTAGGTGCTTAATAAATATTTGTTCAATGCCTCCGTGTGCTCATTATCTTATTTAGTGGTAGCCTATTGACCTCTGAAGTGACTTTAGGAAGTGCATTAGGACTTTGGGAAGTGAATTTGGATGTTGCATACAATTAATGCATTCATATGAACACATCCTAACTTTTGAAATATTAATTTCTTTCCAACGCCCTCTTTTATTTCCCGAGGCCATCCTCTGCTCCCCACTCGCAATCCCTCGCCTTCACTCCCTATAGTTAATAAGACACCCCCTCGGAGGATAGAACGCAATGCCAGGGCCCCAGTTCTTCTCACAGCGCCCTGGGCTTTTTGAATGAGAGACATCAAAGAAAACACAGGAAAAAAAAATTGAATAAAAATGAGCTCGCTGCTAGGGCTCGAAGCCCCACAGTGTGGACATTTCATTCCCGAGCGGAGTGTGTTTCTCACTGCAGCAGTTGAGTCACCAGCAAGACTTGCCTGAGGTGAGCTCCGCACATCCGCGTTGGGACTTGCAGACACGCCTTCTTCTCACACAAACCTTACCCAGCCCCGCCACCGCGGCGGACTCCAAGGGTGGTGCCACCAGCCCTGCCACTCGCAGTCCTGACGGGCAGGGGCTGCGGACCGCCTGGCCTTGGACCCATCCGGAGCCACAGGTTGGAGGAGATAAGGAGCTGTCCCCGTGCTCGTAGCCCTGTGAAGCAGATCCTGTCTCCTTGCTGGCGGTGGAGCCCGGGAGTTCCAGGGCTTGGGAAGGGGAAGGAAACCTCTCTGAAATCTGACACCTGCTCTCCCGGCAAGGAAACTTCGCAGGCTGGTGAGTTGGGAAGGCGGGCTGTTGCTGCTGGAACGCGTTCCCACCCACCCGGGTGCTGCAGCGCCGGCCTGCACTGTGGGAAGTGAGGCCTCTGTGTGTGTGTGCGTGTGTGAGTGCCTGTATACCTTCGATCGCGGTTTCCATCAGAAATCCTTGCAAAGAAGACAGTAGTGATGTGTGCTGCACGGATGGCATGGGTCAACTCGACCTGGCTCTCTTTGAGTAAACACTTATCAAACAGCTGGTTACCACCAAAAAAAGCAAAAAGAAAAACAAAAAGCCTAGGCACAGCAATGTTAATTTCCTTTCATTTGCAGCTCAAAAAAACAATCAAAATAATGAATAAGAAAAAGCATGGATGATGATGTGCTTAGAGTTTCATTCCAGGAGGAGTGACTTAGTGAGGCAAGCCAGGAGAGTGATAAGACATTTATATGCACTTCCTTACATGAAATAGCCACAGAGACCTTAAGAGTACTTTCTGTTTTCCAGTTTTTTGCTCTGTTACTTTCGAATTCTGATCTAAGTGTCGCATCAACTAGGGTATATGTGTGCATGTGTGTTCACTCAAGTAGTCACAATAAATTAGCTTTCAAGACTTTCCCACCCAATGCAATATTAATTAAGCCTCTGAAAACTACTGAAGTAGGTGAACTGCAAGCAGACTGCGTTCCTAGGAAAAAGCTGTGTTTGGTTAGAGCCTTCACACCTGTATCATGTTTTATGAGTTTTTTATGTCAAGATCTAAAAGCTAAGGTTATGCAATTCCAGTTTTAAACTGCACAGCATTAAGTCCAAAGTAATAACATATAATTTCAAGGTTATTAACAACAAAATTATTGTTTAATATAATACAGCTCTGAATTTTGATTGTGTTCTGTTTATAAGAAAAATGTCTATGGTTCTCAATATTTAGTTATAATCACACGTATTCAGTAATATCCATATAAAATATGCAGGGTTTTATGGTTATAAATTTTGAAAAGTTGATGGAAAAGTGGGACTGAATTATTATTATAAACTCAGATATTTGAGTTTAATGAATTTTCAAGCTGCTGTAAAGTCCATATTGCAGTGATGAAGAGAAAAACATACCTGTCATGTGCCATTGCCCCTCAGTTATTTTTCACAGTTTCCTAGTATAATCCTCTACCCAGACCGGGTCAGCCATCCTTGAAGGCAGGAGGTGATTCCTACCGATAACCAAAAAAGGGTAATCTTGACAGATAGTTTAAAATTAATGGGGCTTTCCTGTTTCAGAAATGACTATGGCCTCTCATACAGTGTTACTGACATTGCCTTCGAAAGGAAAACAAAACAGCAGATGAAACTGGATGAGCCTGTTCTCATAGTTGCCAAGAAGGAATAAAGGGAATCTGTTGAATGTAAGCAAACCACAGTTCCTCTTTCTCATAGGTCATTTCTGGAACAGGCATGTTTGACCCAATAGGGAAGGTAACTCTAATATAATTGATCTTCTTGGTAGGAGAAGATCAGTTGGTATGCCAGTTTACACTACAACTATATGTTGGTTTCAGAATTGCTGTTCATTTATCTCACTGTTTTTCTGGAAAAATGGAAGTTATCCAGATGTCCAGGTGGTTCAGAATAGAAACCTGCTCTTTTCCCACCCTCACTCCTGCAAATTTTTGGTTAGGTTTTTGGGCTCTCAGATCAGTAGGGCATGAAATATAGAACAATTACTCATATAAAGCTCATCTCACAATCAATCCAGTTTCTTGAGTTGATTCATCACGGCAGGTTGACCAATAGTTCAGCTGTTAAGCAAGTAATTGTAACGTTGAGATGCAGGAAAATGATTTCAATAAAAACAGACAGGACATACCAAGTGTTTCCCATGAAGAATACGTTCCTTTCTAAAGATGGCTGCCAAAGGGGAATGATTTTTTTAAAAATTCATTATTAAGTATATATGGGGCTTAAGTATATCCTATAGAAGTAGGAAGCAGCAACATCACTACGCATAATAACAAACCTATTGTAAACCCCAAATATGGAGTTGATAGTATTACTCAATTTGTTTCACACCCTTTGCAATCATTATTCATGTTCTCCAAATATTAACCTCCCATTGGCACTCCTTAAATAAGACAAACTTGTCTAGATTGCCAATAAGGAGAGTAACACTCTGTTTATCAAATGGCCAAAAAAATCTTCAATAAATTTAGTCTTTTTAACTAAACCACTGTTCAATATCCTGAGATAAATAATTAATTAAGTTGCTCGTTCATTTATTCAACAAATATTTGTTAAAAGTGTTATGCACTGAACTCTGTGTGGACAGAAGTGGACCAAAATTCCTGACCTTATAGGGCTTGTCTTTTACCAGGGAGACAAAGACCAAACTAGATAAGCAGGGTGAGTCTATGGCACATTAGCGAGAAGTGCTCAGCAGAAAGTATGAAGCCCAGGAGGCATGCAGAAAGTGTCAGTGGCTGGGGTCAGGGAGAACTGAAATTCTATATCAGATGCCCAGGAAAAGCCTCACTGAGATGATATTTTAATATCGATCTGAGGCAAGCAAGGGAATGATCCACGTGGACATGTGGAGGAAGACCATTCTAGATTGAAGCATTCTGGCATCTTTCAGGAACAGCAAAGAAGCCCACGCACCTGGCATAGAGGGAGTGAGGTGGGGGTGGCAAGAAATGGAAGAGAGGAGATAATGGGGACAGGTCTTGGAGGACTTTGAAGGTCCTAATAAACTTGTTGGCCTTTGTTTTTTATTCCAAGTAAAATGACAAAACACTATGATTTAGACATAGCCCGTTGAATGTTTTTCAATAAATATTTACTGAGCATACTATGAACTTTAATATTCTTCTAAGCATTGTGGATAACAGAGGTTAGTGAGATATACAAGGCCTCTGCTGTCATGGAAATTATATCTGGGCTTTGGAGAGAGACAGATAAGTAAATAAATTAGTAATTCTGGAACTTTTAGTGATACTAAGAAAAAAAAATGTTAAAGGATAATATAGTGAGAGTGACCTGAAGGGGACTGTGTGATTCAGTGGTCAAGAAAAGCCTCAGGGGAGGTGATTTATTTATTTATTTATTTATATTTTTATTTATTTATTTATTTTTAACCAAGACAGAGTCTTGCTCTGTTGCCAGGCTGGAGTGCAGTGGCATGATCTTGGCTCACTGCAACCTCCACCTCCTGGGTTCAAGTGATTCTCCTGCCTCAGCCTCCTGAGTAGCTAGGACTACAGGCATGTGCCACCATGCCCAGCTAATTTTTGTATTTTTAGTAGAGATGGGGTTTCACCACATTGGTCAGGATGATCTCGATCTCCTGACCTTGTAATCTGCCCACCTCGGCCTCCTAAAGTGCTGGGATTACAGGTGTAAGCCACTGCGCCCGGCCAGGTGATCTTCTTAAAAGATCACTCTGGCTTCCTTGAAGAGACTAAGTCATAGGGTGACCAGAGTAGAAGAGAATCCGGTTAGGAGGCTATTCCAATAGACCAGTTATGACAGTGGCATAGATTAGGGTCAGAACAGTGGCCACCTAGAGAAGTAGAGAGATTCTATTTTGAAGATACTTGAAGGCAGAGCTGACAGAACTTACTAATAAATTGGATAAAGGTGGAGGTGAAGAAACAAAAGAACCAAATGATCAACAGGATTTCTACTGAAAGATACTGGGTAGACAGAAGGCCATTTCCTAAGATGGATAAAGCTAGGGAAGAAACGGTTTTAATGGGAAATGAAGAATTTCTTTGCAGCCTTTTGAAGTGTTTTTCAACATCCAAGTGGAATTATCAACTTGGGCTTTTGCATGTATGAATCTGGAACACCTAGAGGACATCATAGCTGGATATAGAAATTTGAGAGGCAAGTGCCTATGGATGCTATTTAGAGTGATAGCCTTGAGGACATCACTCAGAGAGAGATTACAGAGAAAAATATCAGGGCTTGAGGATGCAGCTCTGGCTTATGCAGATATTTGGGACCTTGAATGGGAGGAGTCAGTAAAAAGCCATTCAAGTGAAAGGTAAACTGGATGAGCATGTCATCATGAACCTAAGCCAGGATGTTTTTTTAGGATGAAGGGTGTAGTCAATGGTGTCAGACAGGGCCAAGATAAACAGTGAGATGAGGACAGGGAAGTGATGATTGCATGTAGCAGTGTGGAATCATTGGCAGTTTGAGAAAGAGATGGAGTTCTCAAAATAAGATATTCAGAAAAACTAACTTCAAAAAATTCTGAAAATAGCATTTCACCTAATTCTAAAGATAATTGAAAAGAAGGATGCCCCCAGAAAAACTCATGAGGCCACATACATAGAAGCTCTAATAAATTCAATATTTTAAAATGACTTCTAGAACAGATGAATAAAGGAAACATATAATTAGAAATACTTAAGGAAGGTGTTGTCAGAGCTGTAAGCATAATTTGAAGAAGAGTAACGCACAGTGAGTGGAAGCTTGGGAAAAAATGCTCAGGAGAGTGATAGATTATTTTCACATTGTTTGAAACAAAGCAGTGAATAAAGAAGGGTCATCTCCCTTCATGCTGGTGCTGGTGAACGTGAGAGAAAATAGAATTACTCAGTTTCTACTTTGAGTCCCTCTTCTTTCTTTTCTTTTCTTTTCTTTTCTTTTTTTTTTTTTTTTTTTAGATGGAGTTTCTATTGCCCAGGCTGGAGTGCAGTGGCGTGATCTCCGCTCATTGCAACCTCTGCCCCGGGGTTCAAGTGATTCTCCCACGTCAGCCTCCCAAGTAGCTGGGATTACAGGCATGTGCCACCACACTAGGGTAATTTTTGTATTTTTAGTAGAGATGGGGTTTCACCATGTTGGCCAGGTTGCTTTGAACTCCTGACCTCAGGTGATCTGCCTGCCTTGGCCTCCCAAAGTGCTGGGATTACAGGTGTGTACCACTGCACCCAGCCATGAATCCCTCTTCTTTCTATGTGAAAGAAAATAGTGTTCAAAATGGAAGGTCTACACAACACCAAAAGAAAATTAAA